TACAATGAGACCTCTTGGTGTACTGAGTATTAAACATAGACCCAGTAGTGTGATATTCACCTTTTTGGGAAAAAAAAGACAGAAAACTTATTTGTATTGTCTACCTGCTTCCTAAATTTTGGGTTTTATTCATGTGCAAGTTGAACCTGGGATTCTCAGGAGCTTATAGGAATTGCTGGAGTGCTAATGCCATTTTTTCCCCTTCCATGAAGCCCCTCTGGCTGTACCTTCTGGGGCAAAAAGCCATGGAGTCGTAAAAAGAAGATTCTCTGGCAGCTGGGCACGTTGATTGGAGCTCCTGTGGGCATTTCCCTCATTGCTGGCATTGCCATTCCTGCCATGGTCATTGGCATCCCTGTGTACGTTGGGAGGAAGGTGAGTGTGGGGGGCAGAAGGGTTTGGGGTGTTCTCTGTGCTGACCAGAAATTTAGAGCTGATAGGAAGGGTGGATCTTGTCATAGAACCCAAATTCAGTTTTCTCTTCTAAAGCTTCTCTTATCTCCTGGGCTTTGTGTGGGCAGCCAAAAGGTGGTGGCTGATAGCCCTGCTAGCCCCTTCAGGCTCAAGTCCCCCCAAATGCATTTTGCATATCTTTTGTGCCTCTGCTTTGACCCAGGAGCACCCAAGGAATCCCTTTTGAGCCCATCAGCCCTGTTCTTGTGGTAACTTCTTTTTCTTCAGCACGGACCCTCCTGCTAGGTCTGCTCTGTGAGGAGATCTGTGCTCAAAATGAGGTTCTTCAAGGGCTCATGCAGCTGGCAAGGCTGTAAAATCACTTCTTAATGTCCCCTGGGTGTCTGCTGTTCTCACCTGGTGCATTTTCTTCCATCAGATCCACAGCAGGTATGAGGGGAAGAAAACCTCCAAGCACAAGAGGAACTTGGCCATTACTGGTGGGGTCACCTTGTCTGTCATTGCCTCCCCAGTCATTGCTGCTGTCAGTGTTGGTAAGTGGGCTCAGCCCTGTCCCTTCTGCTGGCCCAGTAGCCACTGAGACAAGTGGGTAGCCCAGCCCTGTGCCATGGGGGTGGCCAAAGGGCAGTTTGCAGAGTGCAGCTCTCTGTGGGTTTGGGCACAATGCTGTCTCACATCCTGGTGTGCTCGAGCTGGTCCAAGCCAGCACAGGACTTGTCTGCAGCACCAGCTGGCTGTGCCACAGCCCATCCTGGAGTCCTTTGTCACACAGAGCTGTCTCCTGTCATGGTTTGGTGGCTGATGCCTTGGGGGTTCAACGCTCTTGGGGGTTCAATGCTCTTGGGGATCCCCCCCTCAGCCCACAGGGCTCCTCCACTGTCTGTCTGCATAACTGTGAATGGGAACCTTTAAAAGCAACAAAAACATGACTGAGAGAGTCCCTAAAAAACCTTTTCTGTCTGCCCAACATATCTTCAAGCTCCTCTTAACCCAGCTCCTCCTCCTCTCCAGGAATTGGGGTCCCCATCATGCTGGCCTACGTCTATGGGGTCGTGCCCATCTCGCTGTGCCGGGGTGGTGGCTGTGGGGTCAGCACAGCCAACGGAAAGGGGGTGAAAATCGAGTTTGATGAAGATGATGGACCCATCACAGGTAAAAACTGGTGATGAGAAGGGGGTGAAGCAAAATGCTCTTGAAATGCTTTGAGGTCCTGATGTCTCCCAAACCTGAGATGAGACGTCGCAGCCGAGCGCTCCCGCTGCCGATTCCACCCCCTGTGCTCTCCTTCCCTGCAGTGGCCGATGCCTGGAGAGCCCTGAAGAACCCCAGCATTGGAGAGAGCAGCATTGAGGGGCTGACCAGTGTGCTGAGCACCAGTGGCAGCCCCACAGATGGGCTCAGTGTCATCCAGGGCAACTACAGCGAGACTGCCAGCTTCGCCGCCCTGTCCGGGGGCACCCTGAGCGGGGGGGTCCTCTTGGGGAGCAAGGGGAAGTACAGCAGGTAACTGGACCGTGGGAGAAGCAGAGGGGATCCCAAGGCCTGTGTGGGTTGAGTGGGTTTGTTTTGGGGAGCTTCCCGGGAGTGTGAGTGAAGCTGCTTTGATCTAGGGGTTGTGTCATGGTGGTTTTGTGCCTTGGTTTGTTGTAGAATAACCGGGGTCTAGGAGATCACCTAGGATGCTCTGGAACCCAGAGCTACCCAGGGTGAGGAGACACTGACACAGACGGTCTAGGGAGGTTGTGGGGTCCCCATCCTTGGAGATGGGGCTGGTTGGGGCTCTGAGCAGCCTGGTCTAGGAGAAGGTGTCCCTACCCATGGCAGGAGGTTGGAACTGGATGATTTTTTAAGGTCCTTTCCAACCCAAACCATTCCATGATTCTGTTTCTAGAGTCAGTGCCAGTCTAGTTCTTGCAAGGAGGACAGATCCCTATTGAGCTTGAGACCACAGAGCTGATGCTTCAGCTTAATTGGGAACAGCACAGAGCTCCTGCCTGCCCTGCTTAAAGCTATTCCAGCCCTGTTATCCCAGCCTGGAGGCTTTGATGCTTCCTGTTCTGCCAGCAGGGTCATGGCTCTCCAAGTCAGGAGGTTACACCACAGTTTTCCTCCTAACTTGCCTGTGAGTCAGTTTGCTGGGTAATTAGAGCCACGTGTTAATGTGGCAGCCAGGATGTAATCTGTGTGTGAGATCCATGGAAATCAGCTCTTCGCAGGAATCGTGTGAGTCATGGCTGTAAACACTGCTTTACCTTCGTCATGGAAAACGGAATGGATTTGCCTAAAGAGAGCCAAAAATGAGACTAAACGAGAGCAACCGCCGGGGTTAAACACTGAGCTGGGCCAGCTCACAGGGGTTCTTGCTCTCCTAAAGCATCTGAAGCATTTCTGAGGAACCCTCTTCTTTCCTGCAGGCTGGAAGTCCAGGCAGATGTGCAGAAGGAGATTTTCCCCAAAGACTCGGTCAGTTTGGGGGCCATCAGTGACAACGCCAGCACCCGAGCCATGGCTGGTTCCATCATCAGCTCCTACAACCCCCAGGACAGGTGGGAGGACGTGGAGTGCTGAGGGCAGCGTTGGTGGAGGCTGTCCTGGGGTGGTGGGATGGCTGTGTGTGCACCAGGGATCCTTCTCCTGGCACGCCAGGAGGGCTGGGGACAGTGTGGGAGCAGCCTCCATGTGTGGTGGGCACCTGGGGAGGGGATCTGCAGCCCAGCACCCTCAGTGGCTGCTCTGGCAGTCTGAGGGGACTCTGGAGCTTTCCCAGCTCAGCCTGGGGGTGGTCGTGGCTCTCTTAGGAGGACTCAAGGAGAGCAGGGAGTTGTGGGGTGATGAGCAGCACCTTGCTCATGTTTGGGAGGTGTGATGCTCCCAGCACAGCCCAGTAACGTGAGGGTGGTGGTTCCTGCAGGGAGTGCAACAACATGGAGATCCAGGTGGACATCGAAGCCAAACCCAGTCACTACCAGCTGACCAGCGGCAGCAGCACAGAGGACTCCCTGCACGTCCACACCCAAATGGCAGAGAACGAGGAAGAGGAGGAGGAGGAGGAGGAGGAAGAGGAGGAGGATGACAAGCAGGAGCAGCCGTGTGAACACCAAAGCTGTGAGCAGAAGGACTGCATTGGCAGCCAGACGTGGGACATCACCCTGGCGCAGCCCGAGAGCATCCGCAGCGACCTGGAGAGCTCGGACAGCCAGTCGGACGACGTGCCGGACATTACCTCGGACGAGTGCGAGTCCCCCCTGTGTCAGACTGCAGCAGGCTGCCCACACACCCCCAGAGCAAGAGGTGCCCAGAGCCCAAGTGCCCACCTGAGCCACTGTGCCCAAGCCGAGGGCTGCCGGCTGGATGAGATGGTCCAGCTGGAATGCATCGAAGCCAGAGTGTGACCTGAGCACGTCCCCTGTCACTGCAGCTTCTGGGCCAGGGTTGTGTCCCTGTTGGCTTCTGTTTGCCATCCTCCAGCTGGGCTCCCCCAGTTGCTGTTTCTTACGTGACAGAAAAAAACCCAACAAAAACAAAAAAAAAGGAAAGGAAAAAAAAATAAATTCCCCCCTGCCCTCTTTTTGTTTTAATTTATTGGTTCAAACTCTGTGAGGTGTGTAAGAGTGTAAATATGTACGTGTGTCTGTATGTCTGCAACCATCCTAAGGGACTCTTGGAATAAAGATTCTGGTTGTCATTCGACCTGAATCCAACTCATCCTTTCCAAAGTCGCAGGGAAATCTTCCAGCTGCCTTTGCCCGTGTGAAGCTGATCCCGAAGGCTTGGGAAGGGGAGAGATCTCTCTTCTCCCTCTCCCTGTGCAGCAGGGCTGGGCACAGGTGCAAGGAGGGAAAGAATGAGGGAAAAAGGGCAAATTTCCAGCACTTCTGGGTGTGTGGCAGCTGAGGATGCTGAGAGCAGTGGCTGGGACAGTGCCTTTCCCCAGAGCAGTCCCAGGAACCAGAGTTGAAACTGTTGGACCCCACAGCCCCTCACTGTGAGCTGAGCTGGGGGCTGCTCCCATGTGGGAATCCAGGGCTTCCCTCTGGTTGCCCTGGCAGGTCTGGGACCCCTGCCGGGGTCCCAGACCTGCCAGGGCAGCCAGAGGGAAGCCCTGGATTCCTAGCAAGGCCCTGGAAGCTCCCTGATGGCCATGGCCACCAAAGCTCCTCTGAGTCACCATTTGGTGAAGTCACCACCCTCCCTGGCCCCTCTGCTCTGCCCTCAGTCCCTGGAAGTACCCTGTGTCCCACCCCAAGGGGTGCCCCTTCCCAGACCCTCAGCCTGGGGGGATCCCTGGGGTGGGGATGGATGGGGAGGGGGATGAGGAAGCGTGGAGTGGTGAATTGGCACGGCACGGCACGGCGTGTCACGGCACGGGCAGGGGTGGGACAGGCAGGAGAAGGTGGAGTTATCCCTTTGTGCTGGGGAGCTGGTCTGACGGGAATCGGAGTGGCTCCGGGTGGCTCCGGGTGGCTCCGGTGTCCTGGTCCTGCCCCGTCCCAGCCCTGCTCTCACCCAGACCCGATGGATCCGGGAGCTGAGGGCCGGACAGGGGCACCGAGGGGCTCTGACGGGCTGATCCCGGCCCGGTGAAGATGTGCCAAGTGGGTAAGTCCGGCTCTGGGTGGCGATCACAACAGGAGGGCCGGGGAAACTGAGGCACGGAGGGAGGGAGAGGGGCTGAGGGACTCGATGGGCTCAGGGAAGGAGCTGGGCTGAGCACTGGGGGGTGATGGCTGCGTGAGGGGGGGTCCAGAGGGAGAACAGCCCCTCGGTCACTCCTCCAAGTGCTGCTGCCAGAACCCAGCCCTGGAGCTGCCCTTCGGGTCCAGCTGCTGTCCCAGAGCTTCCGAGGAGCCCCAGCTCTTCCCAGCCCCACAGGGCCCCTGTCCCCATGGCCACTGGCCCCACACCTTTGCTCCAGTCCCAGGAGAGCTGGCTGGACCAGTGGTCTGCAGATCTGGGCTACCGGTGGCTTCCACATCACCTCCTGCCTCATCCGCTGCCAGCACAGGGCACGTCCTCTGGGGCTGTCCCCAAATGCCCCATTCCTGTGCCAGGTAGGGACAGCTCGGTGCTGGCCACCCCACACCCCCCTGTCCCCTCGTCTCAGGCCACCTCGATCCCAGCGGCCACCGAAATGTGCTGATGAAAACGGGGCTCATCCTCCTCATCGTCGGGCACCTCAACTTCATCACCGGCGCCCTGGTGCACGGCACCGTCCTGCGCTTCGTGGTCACCGCCCGCGATGCCACCTCCCTGCACTACGGTGTCACCAACAGCGCCTCTGTCATCGCTGCGCTGCTGGTGGGGAGGGGCGAGCAGGGATGGGGAGGGCTGCAGGTGGGAAGGAGATGGGATGCAGGATGGACACTGCTGGGACTCCCCCACCCCAAACACCCGAAACACCCGAAACACCCGAAACAAGCCTTTCCCGGGGAATGAAACACTCCGGGGCGAGGCTGTGCGAGGTGAAGCGCTGCCCCCCGGATGAGCTTCCAGGACGAAGCCACCAGGGAAAGGGGCCCTGGGGCAGGGGCTGCTCCTGGCTGACCTCCCTGTGCTTCCCCGTAGATCATCTCCTGCGGAGTCTGTGCCCTGCTGCTCTCCCGGTACCTCAGCCCTGCTGCCCTCGTAAGCACCCCCAGCCCCTCCCAGCACCGGGGGTGCAGCCCTGCCAGGGAGCCCCCACAGATCCCCCAGCCCCTCTCTTGGGTCTGTCCTGGGGAGGAGACATCCCCTAAAACCCAATCCCAAACCCAAACCCAACCCAACCCAACCCCTACCCCTAACCCAAACCCTACCCCAAACCCTACCCGAAACCCAAACCCAAACCCTAACCCTAACCCTAACCCTAACCCTAACCCTAACCCTAACCCTAACCAAAACCCTAACCCAAAGCCAAAGCCAAAGCCAAAGCCAAAGCCAAAGCCAAACCCAAACCTAAACCCAAACCCAATCCCAAACCCAAACCCTTACCCAAATCCTAACCCTAACCCAAACCCAAACCCCAACCCAAACCCAAACGCAAACCCAAACCCAAACCCAAACCCAAACCCCAACCCAAATGCAAACCCAAACCCAACCCAAACCCCAAACCCCTTCTCCCTGTGCAGAAGTGGGCGCTGCTGTCCCTGAGCTCCTGTGCCAGCCTGTGCTGCCTGTGCCGCCTGCTGGGGCTGCTGGTGGCCATCGGGCTCACGCTGGGCACCCAGGGCCGGGTGCTGCTGGCCCCCTGCTCCATCTCCGACACCGCCCTCGCCCCCGTGTCCCACCAGTGTCCCTTCGACCCCACCCGTGTCTACGTGAGTGTCCCACAGGCTGGGTGGGGATGTGCCGGGGGTGCCGGGGCTGATGTTCCCGCTGTGTCCCAGAGCTCCACGCTGTCCCTCTGGGCCGTCTCTGTCCTGCTGGAGGCCATGGGGACCTTCTTCAGCCTCCGCTGCCTCCTGCTCACCCTGGAGCTGCTCCGCCTGGGCCGCTGCTGCCGCGGGGTGCTCCGGGTGAAGGTGAGGAGCTCTGGTAGCTGGGCTCAGCTCCAGCCCCTCTGCTCTGCTGCAGCCCGGGGGTTTGTGGATCCGAGGTTTGCACCCCTCTGCTCCCATCCCCGTCCTTCTCTCTGCCTTCCAGGTCTCTCTGCAGGAAGCCCCCGTGGAGAGCCCCGGCCCCGGGCAGTGCCTGGCCTTGCTGAGACTGGACAGTGGAGAAATTGCCCGGCTCTGAGCAGGGCCTGAGGGATAAATGACCCTGTGGATGTGCCCGGCCATTCCTGCCCCGTTCCAGCACCAACACAGCCCCACGACAGGACTCGGCTGCGTCCCAGCACGTGTGGACACATCCCCTGGAGCACGAGCCCATCCCGTGGCCTTGGGCTGCAGCGAGGGATGAAACTGGGCTGGATCCCCAGGGGGGCTCCGTGTCCCCTTTCCCAGCACGGACTGCACTGATATAAACTATTCCGCAGGTATTCAACCCAGAAGCACAGCCCCCCCCGGCCCCACCCCAGCCCTGATGTGGGGAAGGGGCTGAGGCTGATCCATCCCTGTCCATGGGGAAGGGGCTGCCCCATCCTTGCCATGGGGAAGGGGCTGACCCATCCCTGCCGTGGGGAAGGGGCTGATCCATCCCTGCCGTGGGGAAGGGGCTGCCCCATCCCTGTCCATGGGGCTGAGGCTGATCCATCCCTGTCTGTGGGGAAGAGGCTGCCCCATCCCTGCCCGTGGGGAAGGGGCTGATCCATCCCTGCCGTGGCAGTGTCCCCACGTGTGGCTGGGTGCCAGGGACCCCCCAGCCCCCGGGGTTTTGTCCCCTGGGCCGTGTCCCCGAACCTGCTGGAGATGCAGCGGGGGCTTGGCCACCAGGCTGGGGGGTCTGTCCTCACTCAGGGCAGACCCTGCCTCCATCCTCCCACCAGTGATGCCAGTGCAGAGCCCCCCGGGGATGGGGACTGTCCCCTGGGCTCCCCTCACCCCAATATCATCCACGAGGGGCTGTGGGGGCACAGGGGGAGTGCAGGGGGCTGGGCAAGGGGCAGTGACCATCTGCAGGGTGGGGGGTGGCAGGGGGGGGGCTGTGGGGCTCAGAACTGCATGGCCCCGCTGGGGTCACACTGCAGCAGGCGCACGATGGACGGGTCACTCTTGGCCCCTCTGATGAACTCCTCCAGCGAGAGTTTCCCTGCGGGGAAGGGGACACAGCTCAGCCACTTCCCACCCAGAGCAGCCCACAGACCCCCTCCCACCCGGGAGGAGCACCCTGGGGTGCCCACACCCCGAGCCCCTCCTGCCAGGGGGGCAGACCGGGGGACATGAGCCATTTAATCTGAGAGCCGTGGATTTAACCATGAGACCTTTCCCTAATCCCCTGTGGCTCCTCTCATTTACCGTCGTTATTAGTATCCATCTGTCGGAAGATTTTGTCTGTCCTTTTCTCCGGGGTGGATTCATCTTCAGGCATGTTCATGACCGAGGAGACCATTTTGTAGATGGCCTGGGGGAAGGAGAGGGGGTGAGGGTGCTGGCACTGCCCACCCGGGACGGGCACAGAGCTCTGGGATTTGCTTCCCTGGGAATGGGGCCGGTTTTGACACCCTTCCATGGGATGGGGCTGGGGGGGCTTCAGCTCCTGGAGCTGCTCCTGCAGGGACCTTTTGGCCACTGAAGATGCCACTGGGCATCACCAGCTTGGGATTTGGGCAAGGAAAGCGTCTCCTGCCCATGTGCCACCAGCACCAGGCGTGCTGGGGGATGACTGCCCACCCTGGAAGCACAGAAGGGTCCCGGGATGGGGTGACAAAGGGACACCGCCAGGCAGGGAAAGACTCAGGATGCTCCAGGATAAAATGATCCCTTGCAGGGGTCATCCTGCTGCTGCAAAACCCTGTCCCGGGGGTGCCACGGGGTGAAATCCCGTTACTGGGAGCTCATGGATATTCTGTTTTCCCTTCCCCGGGACACTGTGACTGTGACCAGGATAACCCTGGGCCCTCCTTTCTGCCCCAGTGGGGTTGGTGGAGAGCCAGGGAAGCCCACCCTGCCCAAAGTATAGACCCTGAAATTTCCTGTTCGTCCTCTTTTGCCCCTCTCCACATGGACATCACAGAATAAAGAGAGCTGAACCAAATTATCTTGGGGTAAGATCCTCTTTTGGAAATCTTTACCTTCTCCTGCTATTCCTCCCCTCACAGCCTCTGATCTCTGAGCTAACCTGATTATTCGGGGGCTGGGTCAGGAGGGGACCCTCACCCACCCTCCCCCCGGGAGGTGACAGCGCGGTGACACCCGAGCGCGGCGGGGCAGGGCGGTACCTGCACGATCTCCAGCATCTCCTCCCGGCTGATGTAGCCGTTCCCATCCAGGTCGTACATGCTGAAGGCCCACATGAGCTTCTGCTCCAGCTTTCCGCGGGAGGTGACGCTCAGGGCGATGATGAACTCCCTGAAATCGATGGTGCCGTCGCCGTTGGTGTCGAAGGTGCGGAAAACGTGCTCGGCGAACTTGGAGGCGTCGCCGTAAGGGAAGAAGTTGGCGTAGATCTTCTTGAACTCCTCCACGTCCAGCATGCCCGAGGGACAATCCTTCAGGAAACCTTTGTACCAGCCCTGCAGCTCCAGGTCGGAGAATTCCGTGTTTTCCCGCAGGTCCTGCAGCATCTCCGGGCGGAGTTTGCTGTTCTGCTTCCCCATCCCGCTGGGACGCGTCTGGCCGGGTTCGGGGGGTCCCTGTGCGCTACAGGAGGGGACAGGGACGGGGCAGAGCTCGCTGGCAGCCCCCGGACTCCCGGCAGGACGCCGGTGCTGCTCCCCGCATCCCCCCGGGCGCTCGGAGCCGCGGGGACCACCCAGCGCCAGGCAGCGCCAGCCCCCTCCTGTTTGCGTAATAAGCCTTTCTGGCTCATTTGCATAATATATAGGTGATATATAGGTGGGATCAGCAGGGCAGAGCGGCCCCGAGGAGGGCAGGGGCCCGGCTGAGCGGTTCTGGGGCTGGCCGGGGCTCACATCCCCCGGAGGTGGGTTATTCTCAGCTCTCCGTTCGTATTCGGTGCCTCCGGTGGGCACCGGAGCCCCAGGAAGGGCCGGGGGTGGCGGGACCTGCTCGGGGCTCTGTCCCTGCCCCACGGTGCCCCCAGCACCTCACGTCCCCAGCCTGGGCACTCCGCGGTGACCTTGACCCGCTGCCACCCTCCTGGGGTGCCCGGGGTGCAGAAGTGCCGGGAGCTGCTTTGTCCAGAGCAGGGAGACACCCCAGCACCCCCAAAAATTCCTTGGGGTATCGGGACTCCCCAGGAGGAGCAGCCGGGACCCCGCAGTTACGGGGGGTGGGACCCCTCAGGGTCTCTCCTTCCCCCCACTATCCCCCCGAGGAAGGATCTGCGTGTCCCACCCCACTCAGGGGTCCCCGGTTTTGTCCCCCCGGGGTCTGTGACCCGTGGGGGGCTCTGCACCCCGAGAGGGCTCTGCCAGGACCCCCAGAGAAGCGGGGCACCCCCAGGGGATCCTCTCCGGGAGTGAGGGGGCTCCAGGGGATCCCCAAACCGGACATCCTCGGGTTGGGGGGACACCCCACGGGAAGGTCCCTCCCGCGGGGAGGCATTGGGGGGCACCCCCGAAAGATGTGGCGGGGACTGAGAGGGACCCCGAGCACCCCAAAGATGCGGCGGGGACCGAGGGGGACCCCGAGAACCCCCAAAGATGCGGCGGGGACCGAGGGGGACCCCGAGCACCCCCAAAGATGCGGCGGGGACCCAGGGGGACCCCGAGCACCCCCAAAGATGCGGCGGGGCCCGAGGGGGACCCCGAGCACCCCCAAAGATGCGGCGGGGATCGAGGGGCTGGGGAGGGGAGATGCTGCAGAGGCTTTTGCTTCTCTCCCGTTGTAGAAAGAGGTTTGGGGAGCGGGGTGGGATGGGACACGAGCAGGAAGGTGAGGAAAAGGGGGATATTTGTGCCTTTGGGAAGCCATCCTGGGGGGCTGGAGCTGAGCACCCCACAGCAGCAGCGCCAGGGCTGGGGGAGAGTGGGGACCCCAAGGTGGGGGTGCCACCTCCCCTCTGATAATCTTCATATCTATTTTAATCCCCCTGGGCATCAGTGACAGAGGCACAAGTGACGCAGGCTGATTTGAAAGCATCCCATTTCCGACTCCGAGCCGACCCTAAAGCCACCTAATCCCCGAGCTGCGAGGGATTGCAGGAGGGACAGGGGGGATAATGCCCGGGAGGGGGCACGGGCAGGGACATCAAACCCCCAGCGACCCACAGCGTCCCTGGCACGGGGGGCAAACTCATCCTGCCTGCCTCCCATCCCCCCTGCACCCCAAAATATCCTGGTTTTATGGCTGGAGCCGCCTCGGGGTGGGCAGCGCTCAGGATGCCCTGGGGGTGCCAGGGCCGGTCCCGCTGCCTCGTGGTGCTGAAATAGCCACAAGCGCCACTGTGCCACGTCCCCAAAGCTGCTGGGGACACACTGGGCTGCTGTGATCACTGCCTGGGAGTTCCCCCTCCTTTTCCTCCTGGTTTTCCTCCTCCTCCTCTGTGGGAATGCAGAGCTTCCCTCTGGCTGCCCTGGGACCCTGGCAGGGGTCAGGAACCCCCCTGGACAGAGCCCCCAGAGACACTGTCTGTGATCTCTGGCCATGGAAAAGAGTTTTCAGTCTTACAGGATGAATTACCAGCTCTGAGTGTTTGATATAAGTAATAATTAAGTGTGGCACAGGTGCAAAAGTAAAATTTTAGGATTCTAGATGAGGGGTCCAAAGGGGACAAGATGGAGGAAATTGGGTGTGCCTTGTCCTTTTTCTCCTTCTTCATGCCCTCCATGTTTCACTGTGCTGTTGGCATTTTTCTGTTGGTTCAGGCTGGGACACACTGTCCAACGTAGGTGACAGATATTGGCACGTTATTGTAAATCCAGCACAGGTAGTTTGTGGTATTTAATGTTTGTACCATCCCACTGAGGGCAGAGCCCCACACGCTGCCCTGCAGGACAGAGCTGCGGCAGGGCAGCAGAACATGTTAGAGATAAACAGAATAAACAACCTTGAAACCAGCACAGACCAATTATGGCTTCTTCTTTAGCAACAGAGCAAAAAACCAAAAACTTTTTACAATCTGGGAATCATCAATACCTCAGATTCTGACACTCCTCCTCCTCCTCCCGGCTGGGATTTCTGTGGGAATTTCCTGCCTTGTGAAGCCCCCGAGGCCTCTCTGTAGCAGAGCGGGGTGGGGTGGGGGTGCAGGGACACCCCCCAAGGGGACACCCCCCGAGGGGACACCCCCCGAGGTGTCCCTGGGCCCCAGGATGGGGGTTCAGGGTCCCCAGGGCCCCGCACACCCTCAGGGTGGCCCTGGCCTGGCCCTGCTGTGCTCCCCACGCTGAGGGTGCTCGATGATGCTGGGGGTGACCGGAGCTCAGTGATTTGGGGTCCAGCATCAGCCCCCAGCACCCATGGGAGCATCCTGGTGGGTGCCAGGGTGGCACAGAAGGAGCCCGGGTGTGCCCAGGGGGGTTGGGTGCTCGGCACACACCAGACACTGTCCCTAAAACCTTCTGGGATACTGGGACAAACTGGGACAGGGCAAAGCAGGAGCGGCTCAGCCCCTCAGGTGTCCCCAGTTACCCAAAGACCCCTCCCCACGGGCCCACGCTGTCCCCAGAGTGTGTCCCTGTCCCTGTGCCTGTCCCTGTCCCTGTCCCTGTCCTTGTCCCCTGTTCCTGTCCCTGCCCCCAGAGCCTGTCCCTGCCCCTGTCCCTGTCCCCATGTCCCTGTGTTCCCTTGTCCCCGTGTCTCCGTGTCCCTGTGTCCCTCTATCCCTGTGTCTCCATGTCCCCATGTTTCCATGTCCCCATGTCCCCATGTCCCCGTGTCTCCGTGTCCCCATGTCCCCGTGTCCCCATGTCCCCCTGTCCCTGTGTCCCTGTGTCCCCATGTCCCCATGTCCCCATGTCCCCATGTCCCCGTCTCCCCATGTCCCCGTGTCCCCACGTGCGGTGCCCGCGGTGCCACCCCGCAGCCCGTCCCGCTCCCCTCTCTCTGCCAGCCAAGGTCGGGGCTCTGGGGACACCGTGACACCGTGTCCCTTGTCCCCCCGCCCTCCTCAAGGAACGGAGGGGTTAAACGCCATCACCAGTGCCACCAGTGCCACCAGTGCCACCAGTGCCACCAGTGCCACCAGTGCCACCAGTGCCACCAGTGCTACGGCCACGCGTGGGCCCCGGGCTCCCTCTCGTGGCTTCTCCCCCTTCTCATGGGGTGACCGAGGGACCCTCGGGGACACGGCGGGGCGGGGACAGCGGGGACAGGGGGGACAGCGGGGACAGGGGGGACAGCGGGGCCGGGGGGGCCCGGCCGGGGGTCTCCGAGCCGGGGGGATGTTGGGGGGTCCCGCCTGTGCCCCCCATCCCCTCCCGGCGCTCCCGGCGCGGTGTCGGCAGATGGCAGCAGCGGCTTTCGGCAGCGCCGGGGTGCGGGGGGGCCCCGCAATCCCCTTACCCCCTGAACCCCCTGAACCCCCGCATCCCGCACTTCTGCACCTCCTGAACCCCTGAACCCCCTGAACCCCCATATCCCGCACTCCTGCACCCCCTGAACCCCCTGAACCCCCTGAAGCCCCGTATCCCACACTTCTGCCCCCCCTGAACCCCTGAACCCCCGCATCCCGCACTCCTGCACCCCCTGAACCCCCTGAACCCCCATATCCCGCAATCCCCGCACCCCCTGAACCCCCTGAATCCCCTGAACCCCCTGAACCCCCGTATCCCGCACCCCCTGAACCCCTGAACCCCCCGAACCCCCTGAACCCCCATATCCCGCAATCCCCGCACCCCCTGAACCCCCTGAACCCCCATATCCCGCACTTCTGCACTTCCTGAACCCCCTGAACCCCCATATCCCACACTCCCCGCACCCCCTGAACCCCCTGAACCCCCTGAACCCCCATATCCCGCACTTCTGCACCCCCTGAACCCCCTGAACCCCCTGAACCCCCTGAACCCCCGTATCCCACACTTCTGCACCCCCTGAACCCCCTGAACCCCCTGAACCCCCGCATCCCGCACTTCTGCACCTCCCGAACCCCCTGAACCCCCTGAAGCCCCGTATCCCACACTTCTGCCCCCCCTGAACCCCTGAACCCCCGCATCCCGCACTCCTGCCCCCCCTGAACCCCCTGAACCCCCATATCCTGCACTTCTGCACCTCCTGAGCCCCCTACACCCCCTGTACCCCTCACTTCTGCACCCCTTGATCTCCCTGCCCCTTCCACACCCCACACCCCACACCCCCTGTTTCCTGCACCCCACAGCACCCTCAGCACCCCCTGCCCCCTGCCCAGCACCCCCGGGCAGGACCCCACACCCAGCAGAGGATTTGGGGGGACCCAGACCCCAGAGAAGCTCCCGGTGGGTGCCCCACAGTGGGGTGAAATGGGGTGCAGGGAACCGTCCCCCCAAAGCTTTGGGGAGGTGCAGGTGAGGATGGGGTGACTGAGCTGCTCCAGGGGCACAGGTGGGGAGCAGCAGCAGCAGCAGGGTCCCCCAAATCTGCCAACACCCCTGAGTGCCACCCAGGGCTGGCACTGTCCCCCTTGGGGGACATCCAGACCCATTCTCCTGGTGGGAAAAGCCCCTCACAACTGATTTTTTAGGGACAATCTTTTGGTGTCACAGGGCTGTGGGCTCGGTGCTCGGGGTGGGACAGCTGAGTGCCTAATTAGAGCCGTGACTTAATTGGCAGCCGGGGGATGTGTGACGGGCACCGTGATGGGCTGGGGGGGTGCACGGGGAACAGAACACCCCAAAAATCTTTTCCCAGCTCTGGGAAAGGAGAAGAGGACAAGCACAGCGTGGCTGTCCCATGGACCCCGGA